TCTGTGACGTCGTGGTAATTACCCGGACGAACCTGCACATTCGTGCAACAGTGAAAACTGTTGCTGTGGGGCCTACCTTTGTTAAATACGTCTTACTGTGAATTTCTCCGCAACAAAAAGTATCGCATGCTTCGGGCCATGAAATAATTCATATTAAGAAATCATGACAATTCATGCTTCCGTTTTTGTGTGAAAGAAAAATAATTAATTAAAATAAATTATCAATACAGTTAATTACTTAAATTACTTGTTATAACATGGTAAATACAATCTGAAATATTGTTTGGTTACTACTAAATGGCGTACAGGGCAAGCATAATTAAATGTAAAACGTCATATTCATCTATTGGGTAGTAATGCAGAAATTCCTTTCTTAATTTAATTTTTTTAATCAACAAACATGCTTTATTTTTCTTTATTTCATGCAAGAGTATCCTTATAATGTATAATAATTTTGTATCGTGCCATTATATTTATATATATAAGCTATATAAAATCATGATAACTTGAAATTTTTAAAAGATGTCAAAATATATCCTGTGTATTAATCCAACAGTTTCATCTTGAAAATCCGATCCCATTTTCCATCAAGGTGAATAATATTTGTTTCATTAGTAATCGTTATCTGATTCATCGACTTTTAGGTGGTCTGTTGTCAACCCTAAGTTGGAACAAAAGCTTGTTATTAATGAAATGTTTATGACTGAAAACGTGGGTACTCTCTGTGGGTCGTATTTAATAATCACCTGTTATTTAGTTTTTTAAGCAACTGTATTCTTTCTAAAATGCTTGATTGATTGATTTGATTGCAGAGTCGAGTCTTTAAACAATTAGGCCGTATTCCAATAATTATCAACCAATGAATGAAAAATATGTGCTATTTTGCATTACGACGGCAGTGACAGACAGTTCAAACTCAGAAAGTTATATGGAAAATAATCAATTTTTTTACTTTTTTTAACCTACAAAGCCATTCCCCTATTGTATATATAAATTAATAACAGTACGAAACTACTTTGAGCGAACACAATCTACGTTTTGTCCCACCCCTCACAACGTGCTCAAGTAGCGGATTTATCGTATATCTTGATTTGTACCGAATCTCGGAAAGTAGTCGTCGCGAGCACGTATCATAATGTAAAGTGAAGAAATCTATGCAAGCGGAGCTACTAAATCCTCTTTAAAATATGTGGAAAAATTACGAAAAGATTGTCGCCGCTGTGGGAATCGAACCCACGTCTTCGGCATTCGCGGCCTGACCTTTTAGCCACTAAGTTAAACGGCTGATTGCCACACCGATGAAAATCTTAACGTCTTTTATCTATATTGTTTTTTAACGAAGCAATACTTGGCGCAGCTCTTGGCAGCGACAATCTTTTCGTACGTTTTCTACATATTTTAATGTTCAATCTGAAGTGCAAAGATTAGCACTATAAACAATTTAAATTACTTAATCCTCTATTCAGTTCAGATAGCGTCTTACGTGCCGCACAATGATATGCAATATTTATCAAAGATAATGCTGAGCCACCAAGCGAATGTGGTTTGATTTACGTGAATCGTTTGCTTCAGTGTGCGAATTATAGTCAGTATCCCAGCGCACCTGCGTCTTCTAGGCATTGTGTTTAATAAACTGCTCCTCGCGGTAGCTTATAATAAATAATGAAAGTATTGTGGGCAATGAATGCTTAATTTATGGAGGGCTATTTAAGTATCTTCCGTCTTTGAATAAAGGAAGATTATTTTTTTCAATTTATTAAGATAATGTTACGTTTTTATTGCTACTTCTGTTGTGGTATGAAAACAAGTTTCGTCTTTTTAGACAATCTATCAGGAAATTTATTTGGATTGTTCATAAGAAACAGTAAAGTAAATATTATAAAAATCAGATTAGATTATATTTATGGCATGTTATGATATTCAGGACATTTTTGGCTTGTTATAAGAATTAAAGATAGTCTTGGTTTTTACCTACATTACGTAGATATGTTAAAATTCACATAAAATTATTATAATTTCTTTTTGTGTATAATTAATAACCATACTAACAGCTTAAAAAAAGTAGAATTTATCAAAAGTGTAATTGTATAAAGGGCATGGGGTTTTATATCAGATTATTAAAAGTTTTGGTTTACCTAGTGTAACACCTACCGTATTACATTGAAGGTACTCGATATAAAACGGTAGAAATAATCAAATTGAAATAAAAAAATGTAATAAGTAAGTAAGAACACTCGTGTATCTGCTTATTTTATGAAGAATATTGTAATGAAGGATTTTTGGAACGAAGTTCCTTAGCGCACGGTTTGGATTCAAGAATTTGGACTCCAAAATATGCTAACACTTTAATACTACGCTTTTGAATTAAACCGTTATCAACTGCATTTGATACCTTTTTCACAAATAAAGAGTGGTAGCTGTGGTAGGGCCACGAACTCACAGAAGAGCGGCAGTGGAATTGTTATACTTCTGCCTTTCATCTGGTGAGTGAGGTAGCCGGAGCCCACTTTTTTAAAAGGTGGCAACGCATCTGCAACCCTACTGTGGCAATTAACGTCAATGGACAGCGGTTATCACTTAAAATTGGGTGCTTGCCACTATCTAACATTACAGACAGGGATCACCGTAATTCATAAATTGGCATATAAGTTGACGTAAACATAACATCTCATATTAAATAGATATTTAAAATTGCATTTAAAATGTATTCTAGCATCTGGGTTTCAAAAGCGGATTGCACAACAGAATTAAAAAGAAGACTGTTAGGTATCAAGGGTTGTATATTAATATTTTAAATTTGTAGAAAATAATATAAGAATACACATTACAGTCTAGTAGCATAGATACGATGTAAGTGACCGTTTCATTTTCCTATTCCAAGTGACAATGAGCCGACAATTCTAAAATTGTTAACTAGGTTATAATTGTTCCGGGCTGTACTTTTTACATTTGGCAGCTTTTCGCAATAAAGAGGCTTTAGTGGAATGGAATTGAGGCGACAACATTGGGAGAGACGTGCTACCGATCTGTGTTCTCTTCAAATGAGCACTGAATTTCAACGTGATTTTACATAAAAAGATTTTCATTTTAATAGGTAGTTTCTTGCTCCAAGCATCTGTCTACCTCCTACTGTTATACTGGTTTCTTAATATTTTATTAACATCATGGTTTTTATGATGAAATTATAACTTTGATTTATTCTTCAAAGTTGTACGGTACTAGCAAATTCTCGGCAAGATCTTGGAATGTTTAGTAATTTTCTTTCATCTCAATGACAAACCTATTTCATTCGCGTGTCTAAATGGCATTGGTTCCGGATTCTTGAACATTAACTTATACTATCTTCCTTGACCCTTTCTCTTTGTTCAAAACATTGAATTGACGTTATTGAATCGAATCAGTAAGTTATAAAGTTGTCTTACGTAAAAGTAAAGGTTGAAGAGGACTTTGGTAAATCGAATTAGTACCAAACTTACGTAAGTTATTTACGTTGGTATTAGGGAAATAATATTTTTCAGGTATTTTTGTTGTGTGGATATGGTAATTCTCAAAGCAATAATAATAATAATAATAATAATAGTTCTATATTTTTGATGTTATACCTATTTTATAGCTCATTGTCGGGGTCTCTCTGTCCCCTGTCCCTCGCTTTTAGTTCAATATACTCGAACAACCTCAGTTCAAATCCCAAACAAGCACCAATGAAATTTTTAATTTTAAGTGCTCACGTGAGCAGCTGTGAAAGAAATCCATCGTCACCAGCATATTTTCAAAAATATTAAAAAAAAAAAATATTTCAAAGATTTATTTTTGTGCCTGCCAATCCGCAGTGGACTATGTCGCGTAGTGCTATCTTCTAATATCCTGTATACCGAAGACGTATTGTCTTGATCTTTGCCCAGAAGTGGCACGTATATAGGCTGTTACTTTTCTTTCTTTTTTTTTATATGAAAGTTGCCAAGCGAGTACGGTTCACCTGATGTTAAGTGAATACCGCCGCCCATGGACATCTGCTACACCCGAGGGTTCCAGATGCATTGACAACCTTTTGAAAATAGGGCTCCGGCCACCTCATTCACCAGACGAAACGCGAAAGTATTATACTTCCACTTTACGCCGGTCTTCCGTGAGGTCGTGGTACTTACCCGGACGAGCCTGCCCATTCGTGCAACAGCCGAGGCTACTGCGTGAAATTTAATTTAACAACAATTTAAATATAATTTACCACCGTAATTTTTTTTTCTCTACTTTACTACGCATTTTATAATCAGTACCTAAGGCGCCGCCCGATAACCGACCGAGCTATTTTTTTTTCGGTGAAATTTGCCGTCATATTTGAATGATATTTTTCATTCCCCGAAAACAGGGATAAAATGTATTATTAGCAAGTTCTATGTTTTAAACTGTTTACACAGCTATTTTTAACGGAAACATTAATCTGAATTTGTCTGTAGCAATTGATCAGTTTACCCGTGGTGTTGTTGTAAAGCGTTAGAACGAAATTATCCGGAGCCATTTTCGATTATTGACTTTCAATCATTGAAAATTGATTTGCGATGGAATTGCAGTCGGAAATACCGAATCAATCCGAGCAATTTAACGATGACGACCCCGACGGAATTACGAATTTCGGCGCTAGTACTCTAGGAATGTTTATATCCCCAAGTTTTTTTTTAAATATTGTATTACTTACGCATTTTCGCTGGACAAAATATTATTTACTCACGAAATTATGCACTTTTTATGTCTCTTCTATAACGCATGCCACTTCAACCGCTCTTTTACTACGCGTATCAAATTATTATATCTGCCCAGGGAAAATTGAGATAAAAACTTTTTTTTTAATTACGAACTGACTAGAGCTAAACTAGTTAAACACGATGAGGAATGATGGGGAATGATGAAGTCTTAAGTGTTAAACGCAGAGTGACTCCTTTTTGGCCGGTTTTTGGTACTACCTGGTGACGGATATACTCAATAAAATTTATTCCTCTCTCCTAATGATTCCATTTCGTTACAGGCGTTCCAGCGCGGGACTGCTGGCCTCGCAGCTTACCTGCCAGAGTTCGTCGACTGCTGCAAACGCAGCAGCCCCGCCCCACCAGGCGCCGTCGTCGCCACCGCGCGTGGTGTCCGCGCCGCCAGCGCCACTGGTTCAACCGCCCCCAGAGCCAGCGCCCCAGCCCGCCCAGGAGGACGGCGTACGATTGCGTCGCGCGCACACGGTCGCAGTGCGGGACTACTTGAAGAGGGAGACGCAGACGTTCTTCGGAGTCCAGAGGGACAATGAGAGGGAGCAAAGGAGGCTCTGGTACGAAAGGAGGAGACGCCACGCGGCTAGGGCCCTCGGCGACCTCCGGCTCGACTTGCCACCGGATCACCATCCCGATGACGATGACATTAGGTGAGTTTTGTTCCCATTCCGGTTCGTGGCACTTTGGGGTGAGTTACCCCTATATATGCTATTTGGACCAAATATCAAAAGTCAAAAATTGTTTATTTCGTTCCTAGCAATCGTTTAATTTTCCAGAGTGAATTTTATAGCATCAATTTTTTTTAACTAAATGTAGACATTCTCATGATCTGAGGCTTCAGCTCATTGCTGAAAGTAGTTATTCAAATACCACGATTGCTGTTTGAGTAGATTATTATATACAGTAAAGATTCTTCAATGAAGAATTACTTTTTATAATAACGAGTTAAAGTTATTTGTTATATTATAATATATTTATTTGTCAACTTTTATCTATGAACCAAACTTAAGAACATTTCGCCTGCTAATTAAATATTTAGGAAATAAAATTATTTAAATATATACAATTTTTTATATAACATAAAGTATAAAGCGGTTTAAATAAATAGTGAACTAAAATAAAAGAAACATTTCCAAGACGTATTTCTTTAGTTTTGTTTCAAGACAACTGAAATAGGTCACTTGCCGGGTGGAACGGTTGAAAATTTAATTTACTTCTCTCAACAACTAGACTATCGCGTTCATTGGAACAGGAAAAGATATTGAACTTTTCCTATGAAATCAGCATTTATCTCGTAATTGCCCTTTCATATACCAAATTATTTCTAGTTTTTATTTTCGATTGTCACGTAGATTGAAGGGAAATGAAGATTTGGCATTTAGGTATTTGATTAATTTCAAAACATAGACATAAGGTGACAAATGGTTTGGCACCTAATATTATATATCCATTTGAATAAGTTTTCACGAAATATTATTATTATTATTTACACAATTATATATTAAATATTATTATTTACACAAATAATTCATTAATATTATTCATTATTATTTTATATTGTTGTGTGGCGAGAGGATTGTTTCTTTAGATTGTATATCGTTCAAAGTTGGGAAATATTAATTATTAACTCTAAAAGGCATTGCAGCCAAATCTATTCAAAAACCATCTGGAGTTGGCAAAAGCGCATTCTCAAAGCGAAAATCTTCACAGCATTCAGCGTGAGTGCTTAAATTTAAGAGGAATACATTTTACGCTAGCGTTAGTTAATAGTTTTAAAACATCTAAATCAGGCGAAAGTAGTAGTGGTGAGGACTATGTATAGTATTTATTGCTTACGTTGCTGTTTAAAATACTGCGCAATATGCAATGGCCGTGTTTGCGATTCACAATCGTGCAATTTAGTTGCTAATGAAAGTTACGAAATTAGAGCTGAATATTCAAAGCCCGTAATAAACGGTTATTGTATAATGCAAACTGCAATAATTCAACTACATTTTAATAGAATTTCTTAGTAATAAAATTTCTTCAGAGATTCTTTAAATTAAAATTTAATATAAGTAAGGGAAAGTAACGTACTATATAGGAGGCCTCTGCCCAGTTCTGGACCTATTTAAAGTAGGGCACATTTCAACAAACGACACCACCGCGGATAGGCAGACTTCACATATCTTCGAAATATACATATTTAACATTATTTGGAAAATATTATGGTTCCTTATGAGGTTTTCCCATCACTTTCTGCTGACAGAGTTTCAACGAGCTTTTATTTTGTCCGACACTTTTAGCCATACACTGGGTTCAGGGGATACACAGTCTTTTTTGAGATAAGTTCGGGAGTGGTAAACTGTGTATTGCATGTCACTGTAATTTTTTGCGGTGTCCTTGTGCCCCATATATTCCGTATATTTTATATATAGTACATTTTATAATTCTCTATTATTAAACGGTCAGGTCTCGAGTGCTCTCAACAAAATAATTGTTGCGTAACCGTGTGATATTTATAAAATTTCAAATAAACACACTGAGTTATATCGTTACATCGCGGCCTCTTGTATAATTCTGGAACATGTGGGAGACCTTATAATTGCTTGTTCAGAGTTACAAGTATTGTCTTTTATACACTTATTTTCATTCAAAATTTGAAAAGCAAATGTTGCTACAATTAAGAGTTAGTTCCTGGTATTCAGTAATGGATCGTATATCATATCAAGTGGGCTATATACGTAAATGTGATTTTTATTTGAAAAATTTTTTTATCAGAAATATCAATTTGTTTTACGTCCTCGTTCCTTTTGTTTACCGTCTGCTTTTTAGAAGTTAGTTTAGTAGTCTGAATTTACGCAGAGATGATTTTTATAATAACATAATTCCCTCGTACAAGGTACGAAACCTTTACAGGGTACATATAGATAGATTTTGAATTAATATTAATGAAACAAGGTGTGTATGTGTCACAAATGTAAGTTAGTAATTTTCATTCAAAGAGATGCTACAAGAACAAAAAAAAGGCTTTCATTCTAAGCCCTCTTGTTGCTATTACAACGGGAAATCCAGATAAACGGAGCCGATGGTAAATGATAGTGAAATGACAACTCTAAGGTCGAGGGAAAGTTATTTTGCCGTAAATAGTACAACTAGTACAAAAAAAATGCAAACGCATAATTAACACCTACAGATTCGAACCTAAAGTATGTCAGACGTTACAATGGTGAATGTAGGTACATTTATAGTTAGGCGAGCGGGAATATGTTATGAAAGACTAACGGCGTTGTTTACCCCCGGGGAGGTCCGGAGGCGCGAGCAGCTTATTAATGTACTTGTTAATTCTTGACTGTTGGGCGACGGGAACTTTGCATGCTCCGTTGAATCGGGAACTTTGGACGCCCAGACTAATTCTACGTAGGTGCTTGTTACAGTTAGCGGGAATCTCCATAAGTTACTGCCCCCTCGCTCGTGATACCGTTATTAGTCTGGTAATTGGGCAGGAACGGAGCACTCTAACAAGCCCTTAGGCATTTGTGATTAAACTTTTTTTGAAGTAACTTGATTGCCTTAAAATTAGTGAAGCTTCTGTAAATTATGACAATCGGTAACGGCCCTTTGTCTGCTAGCATCTGTACAAATGAGTACTTTGCCCCCTTATTGATACATGTTAATAAGCTACATTTCTATGGTAGGGCCATGTAACAGCTTCGGCTGGTGCACGAATAGGCAGATCCATCCAAGTAAGCACTACGACCTCAGAGAATCGGGAAGAAGTGGAAGTTTTATACTTCTGCGCTTCGTTAGGTGTATGACGTAGCCGGGGCCCACTTTATTTAAAGGTGGTAACATCTGTAACCCTAGGGTTACAGATTTTGGGTGGCGGTTATCACTTATCATCAGGGGAACAGCTCGCTTGCTACCTTCTCACATAAAAAACATAACAGCATACTTCACTCCTTCAGTTGACCTCTCTGTGCGCTCTTCCATATTCATTCAAATAGTGAGGATAATTGTCTTAATATATTGAAAATATATTATAACAATTAATTCTTTTTAAAAAGGAATGGTCTCTATTGCCTTACTGCTGATACCATGACTGATGGTAAATGGCAATATAGCCGTAGATGGCCTTGACTGCATCCATGTTATATTTGGACAAAAAGAAATATGCTGACAAACTTTTCTATTCCTTAAATGTGCGCATAATAAATGATAAAGCAAAGCGCCTGGTTCGAGTGCGTGGAATGTCAAAGACGTTAAGAGAAAAGGTAGAATTGTACCGAGCCTCTAATCGTTTGAAGGTGGGGGAGTTTATTAAATGAAACTAGTTTACGGATGGGGAGTAGTTAATAGGTTTAATTTCTGTAGAAATGGGGACTGGTCTACTGTATTTTAGAAGCTGTTTCGGTGTAAAGTTCCGCCGTACGTAACTTTTTTCCGAAGGGTACATAACTTTCGTATAGCTGCTTGGGCCTCAGATTCAATGAACCACCCTAAGATGTGGTTGGAGGCCACCTCAGTCGCAGCAACTAAAGATGGTCGGTACATAGGAAGGTCACATTTTGGAAATTTGGAGCTAGGTTTAGCTCCATCATATGAAATACCCAGTTTTCTGTCATGTAGTCTTATTTGTTCATTTAATTTTTATACTGTTATACTGTTCATTTTACGGTGGTAGGGCCACACAGCAGCCTCGGCTGTTGCACGAACGGGGAGGCCCGTCCGGGTAAGTACCACGACCTCACAGAAGACCAGCGTAAAGTGGAGGTCTGACAAATACTTTCGCGTTTCGTTTGGTGACTGAGGTAGCCAGAGCCCAATTGTCAAAAGGTTATCAACGTATCTGTTACCCTCGGGTGTAGCTGATGTCCATGGGCTGCGGTATTTACTTAAAATCAGGTGACCCGTCTGCTCGTTTGGCAACTTTCGCATAAAAAAAATATCATAAAATAATACTCGTAAAATATGTCACTAGTGATTTAGGTGTAATATGATCACAATAACTGTCTCATTATTATTTTGCCAATCTTATATCAAGGGAAAATGGCAAAGATAGACAGAAAATTATCTCGATTTAAATATTTTCATATTCATAACACAATTCATCTGCTCTATAAAAACTGATTTGAGGCGCTGATATCTCCGCGTGAAAAACTCTCATTTAATTTCCTTCAACATTTTTCCTATTTTTTTTGCCCAATTTGCAAAAACTGTAACTGTTGAGAAAGCTTTTTGTAAATCAGATTCCAGAAATACTCTCAATAACGTTGAAACATGTAGTCTGAAGAATTATATAATTATTTTCCTTTTAATATCCTAGAATATATTTAAAATATTTGAATAAATTGGTTTAATGCGACCGTCGGAAATTGGTCACGGATTCGACAGTCAGTAATCAGTGAATTCGAAATAAACCTACTCACTGAACTCAATCGCTGCCATGAAAAAGAAAATTTTTCTCCACATAAGAAAAGTAGGCTGTCGGCCTAAATATTTTCTCATATTCGTCGAGGCAGCAGGCTCAGACATGCTTAGTGGAAAATATTTATTAGACAGGACCTCTAAGTTAGTTATGGGAGTCATCAAGTATTGTGGAACTTAGAAGTTCTCGTGTGTCTAAATCAATGTGCCGTATATAGGAACTTGTTAAAATAATAACTGTTGTCAGATTTTTTTTAAATGCAGGAAACAATAGAAAAAAAAACTAATAATAGAAGTTTAAGCATTCTTACATAAATGAAACCAGTTTTATTACACATTTCATTTTAACATCAGTTAATTTGATGTGAATATCAGCTTCGTATTTTAATAACATTTTTATTACGAAATAATTAAATTTGTAATCATATGGTTTCACCAAAGATGGAAAAATAACTTTTTATTCTATGAGCACTATTTTTTTCATATAAAATTGTAAGTTTCTTTAATTAAAGGTATAACTTTATAAAATAGCAATTAATTTTAATTCAAATGTCTTCACATATCCTACGATACAATATTATTTTAACTTTTATTTAAGAAAGTAACAATATATATATCCCACTTTTGGACAAAGGTTTCCTCTATATAGAGGTATTCAGTTGTCCCCGCGACCCCACAGCGGATTGGATGCATACACAGTCATGTCTCACATGTCTAAAATATTTCTTTTATTTTTATTTAAAAATATAGAGGTTTCCTCACGATGTTTTTCTTCGCCGTTGAGCACTTGATAGGTCTTACCTATAAATAAGTACTAAAAATAAACTAAAATTAGTCAAAATTAGTACTTAGGTAAATTTTAGTACTGGTAAAATTTCAATTAAGAATTCCATTGGTGCCGGCACTGGTATTTGAACGCAGATTGCTCAAGAATGTTGAATTAAATGCGAGCGTCCCGACATTGATTTTTCTTAGCTTAACCCAAAGTAACTCTAATTTAACATAACAATTAGTTTAATTTAAAAGTAGTTTCATTTTAAAATATATCAATATAACGATTGCATCAGTGTTTGTTTGCTTTGGTGTTCTTAGACAGAATTTTTAATTAAATGAGTGTAAGTTCACGTCACGAGTAAAGTTATTGATGGATGAATGTGATTTTAAGTGTTATGTAAATGAAACCAAACACCCCAATATCATATTTACAATCTAGGTCGGAATATAAAAGATTTCGTTATGCTAACATCTTACATTCTTTTTTTACAAAAATCCTATGTAGGAGTTACGAGGTACCCACTAAAAAACCCACGATGCACCTGCGCTGTCACTTTTGCCGGGGACACGGGAACACGAAAACGAAATCTTCCGCGAACCCCGGCGCGACTATGGCCTTGTCAGGCCTCCTCTCTCCGGTTATTTGGACACCCGGTCCAGCCAAATGGTGTCGTGTCGGTGCAATGAACACGGCACCCTCTCAAGCCCTCCGCGGGGCAGCAGTTAGATGCTAACATCTTACATAATCAACCTGGTCAACTACATATTCAATCCAGTACAAGGTATGCCGTGATAGCTCAGTGTCCGGGCGCTCACTTTTAATTTAATATACTCAAGGAACGTGAGTTCGATTCCCGGTGCCGGCACCAATGAAGTTTTTAACTTTAAGCGCTGCCTTATTACGTGCTCCGCGGTGAAGGAAAACATCGTGAGGAAACCTGCATATTTTCGAAATAATAACAAAAAAAATATTTCGATGATATGTGAAGTCCGCCAATCCGCAGTTGGGCTGCGTGATGGACTATGCCCTGATACCCTTTGCATAGAGGAGGCCTTTTCCCAGCAGTGGGACATGTACAGGCTGGTACTTTACTTTACAAGATATGCCCAACTCTTATGCACTTTTTGTTATATACTTACGACGCGTTTACGTATTTAGTTATAAAAAATGCCAGAATATAATACAAAGTTCAAATGGCACAATATAAAAGAGTTTAAGTTAAGTTTTTTTTTTAAATCGAATTGCAATTATTTAAAACGCAGTGCTCCTAAAATACTTTATTTCCTTAAAATATGTAGAAAAAGTAAGAAAAGATTGTCGCCGCTGTGGGAATCGAACTCGCGTCTTCGGCATTCGCGCCTGATTGCCACACCGACGAAAATCTTAAGGTTTTTTTTTCTACATTATTTCTTAGCATCTGAAGCAATACTACTTTATTTCCTGCTAAAAACATGCGCATTACCAATGCAAGCTGTTGCATTCTTTAAAATTCTAAATAGCGAAAACAAGGCTTTGGAAAAAGCACAAAGTAAGGCAAAATAATCTTGTAGCGACCGCGCTGCTAATGGAAATTTATATTTTTAGTCTTTGTTATTTCGTAACAATTCGATATCCTTCAAAATGTTTTCATAAATTCTGCACAACTGTTAAGATTTCCTTGAACGCATTGGTTGATAAAGCAAGTAATTCTAAATGACAATTTTAGTTAAATGAATGTTTTTTGTGTGTGTTAATTGTTGTATAAGAGACGACTCCTTCGAGACGACGAGGTCTTGGTCCATTTTGTTATACTTCGGGTGTATCGTATCCTAACACTGAATGGAAAGGACAGAATATTTGTATATTTACATATCATTTACCACATTTACGAATAGTAGATTAAAGTCATCTTGTTGTCGTCGTGGAAAACGGCACAAAACTACAAAATAGAAAAAAGAAATATATAAGGATACAAAATATAAGTTCTGAAATTATGATTTAAAACTTGATATACGAACGTTCACATTATTTTGTAATATAAATCGGCGCGGAGCCGACATTTAGGAATATGCAAAAATATTGTTTCATTAAAATTCAAAACCTAAATCGTTGGGAAAATTAGTTAAATATTTAAAAAAGTACAATAAAGACACAATTGTCTCCTTTTTATCAAATCGAAATCACCCGCAATTCTCTAGAGTTATGCTCGAAATTCAGACTGCGCGAGAGAAAATTTGGAATGCTCTACATTTTCCGCGAGTCCTGACAGAAATGTTCGGTGATTTTTCTATTCTACATTACGAACGAAAAATATCTTTTAGTGTTAGTGTGTGAAATATTACCAGGCATAATATTTAGAATGTTGCACGTTACTTGTAAATTTAACGAGAAAACTATATTGGACATTAAAGTAAACCGAAATTGATTAAAAATATGTTGTATGTAAAAAAAAATTATCAAATTTTCGCTACGAAAACATAATATCAACATAATAATAAGAATTTACTTGTATGATTTACGTATTAAAAAATTTACTAAAACACGGACAATTTTATTATATAATAGTATTCAATTTTCCTTAGATGTTGTGTAACTTGTAAGTAATGTAATTAACACATCATCAATACAGCAACTGATGTTAACACCGCCGCCGATGAAACATCCACAATACATGTAGGGTTGCAGATGCGTTATCAAAATTAAAAAAGTTGGACCCATGTTACTTTACTCACTGGACGAAACGCGTAAGTGTAATACTTTCACATCACGCCGGTCTGCTGTGATGCGGTAATTCCCATGATGAGCCTACCCATTCGTGAAACAGAACCTGCCGTGTGGCGCTATCACCGAATGTAGAGACGATGCTTTTATGTGCCAGTATGTACGGAGCGTCGGGTGCAGCGCCAAGGGAGGCGCGGGGGCGTGCCCAGGAGCGACCCGACGTGCTTCCAGCGCCGGCGTCGCTCGAGGAGTCACCGCCCACGCTGCCGCCACCCGGGAAGGATAGCGTCGCGAGGCTCACACTCACCGGCCTCTCCTATGTCGTCACTGTGAGTTTTATTATAAAGAGATGTTAGAAGGCGGCAAGCCTGCTGGTGGTTCACCTGATGTTAAGAGATAACCGCCGCCCGCCGAACACGCGTAGGGTTTCAGATACATTGCCACCTTCTAACGAGGTGGGCCCCGTCTACTTCAGTCACCAGACGAAATGCAGAAGTATACGTCTATTTTACGTCAGTCTTCTGTAAGATCATAGACCTGCTCATTCGTACAATAGTCAATGATCAAAAGATTTACCTGAGGGCAATTGACATGGCTCATGACTCCACTACACAGGAGGTGATGAAGGTGAAGTGCCAAAAGAGTGCGCTCAGGTTATCCCATTCGTCGGGTACTGTTTACTGAGCGAACAGTTGACCAGGTAGGAAGTGAGAACCGCCGCTGATGATCACAACATCAGAAATGTTGCAGTTTTGCTGCTAACTACTAAAGACGACGAAATGCAAGAGTTTAATCTTGTTACTTAGCTTCGATCTTCTGTTAGGTAATTGTACTTTGTCGATCAAGCTGACCTAATCGTAAAAAGGGGGCTGTTAGATAAGATGGTGTTACTCTATGACCGGCAAATACATATACGTACGTACTGGCCTTCTGTGATGTCGTCAAACCGCCTGTCGACTCGGCGCGGCGATCTACGAATATTATAATTCTCATTAAAAGTTTATTTCTAGATAGCGTATGATTTACATGCAACCCTGAAATTTTTGCAAGTCATTTTTAAGGATTCATAGAAGTTGTATGTTGAATTAGTTGAAACGGAGGTAAGGAGTGATAACAAAAATGAAATGGCTAAAATTTGAGTCTCCTGCTCAAAACTATAATAATAATGAAGGTCCAATAGTAAAATTTTTTAAACCTTCACGATTTATTTTTTTAATTATTATGTTAATTCGTAGTAAATAAGAATGCATAAACACAGGCATATTCTATCTTATACAGAGTTGAAAGCTTTACATATACGTATTATTATATAGTTTCAAATCGAAAACATACAAAAATGAAATAAAATCGTCTTCTTTGTCGCACTTTTTCTTTTTGAATGTGATGGTGATTTCTACTAGATTCTGCCAGTAGTGCCTGTCTCTAGCCTATCGGAGAGCAGTGGTAAAGGACAGGTTAAGTATGGTCTTGATCTGCTTGGACCATAGTTGGACTTATCTCTAACATACACTTGGATGGAGAGTCGGTAGTGAGAGTCAACGGTGGCGTCTCAAAACCCTTCCGCCCAGGAAAAGTAGTCCGGCAAGGTTGCATTTTATCTCCACTGTTGTTCAATAGATGCGGGGAATATGTAACGAGGAAAGCTTTTTATGGATGGGAAGGTGGCATTTCAATCGGGGCGCATAAGGTCGAAGTTGTTTGCATCCGTGGATGGTCCGAGTTCGAGTCCAAGTAGAGTTTATTGGACTGAATATCAACAAGGCGTAAACCAAAACCAAAACAAAAAACATGAAAAAAACAATAATTGACACTGAAAGAATATTTATTGTCAAGTTCACCGTCAATCAAGGAACTCCAATCAACACCAGATAGCAGGACTTATTAAAATTTTAAAACTTAATACAAGTTCAAAACATAATGAAACCCGATGAAGAAGAAGAAACATCTAACTAGGTATCTTACTATGTTCAGTTCCAACCAACTGATTCCCGCCTCCATAAATTGGTCAAATCTTGGTTGTATTTTCTCATCTTCATCATCAAATTTGAAAGATTACGAAATCCAAACTCATTGTAAACAATAACCTTTGCATTCCTTTGTTATTGAATAAGAATTGGAACTGCGTCAAAATGCAGAGATGATTTTATGCAGTAGTCGTTGTGGTAATAAGATAATACGCAACTTTGAATCCGTTTCACAATTCTAGTAGCATTGAACCTCTCTGTATTTCATTGGAATTACTGTTTGTAAGTTTCCTTCCAGAAGTTACAGGGCGATATAGCTTCTTTTCTACAAAAAGGAATTCTCTAACAAACATTACGTTTAATAGAAGAAAAATGAGCTTAAGTGGAATGCATTCCTAAATAAGCTGTACTTTGAGTTTGGTCAGGGAGAGCTCGGATATAAACTAGCGTTAAAGTTAATGCATGACCAGATAACTGCGGGATTGAAGTTGCTCGTAATTCTAATATGATTTAATAAAATACACGTATGTAATCAGCACGTGGAGACGCTTAAGTAAGTAATAACAGAGTAAACAAGAAAAATTACTTAATGATACTATTGTGTAAAAAGCGAAAACCTGCAGGAATGGACAAGAAAATTTAATTATAGACTAACTTGATATATTGGGATTGTTACTGATATTAAAAAATGCAGAAAGGTCTAAAATTGGCTGAATGTTGGGGCCAATCAAGATAAATAATACAAAATAGGATTCATTTTTACAATCAAAACATTGTATGACTTTGTTCTTGTTATTAAATAAAACTAATTTATTTTAAACTCAAGTTTAATCTGCTAAAGCTGCACAAGCCATTATGACCACAGGTGGCATAGTTAGCTTTTAACCCAGTTTTACAGGTTCAGTATTTAACGTTTGTTAGATAAACATGCCATACTCTGGTATTTAGTACAGCGAAGGCGTTCCATTAAGCGATGTACTTCAGCGCATTGCTTTATTGACGTGCTTTTCGATTTTATAGTATTTTTCAAGAAACGAATGTGAAATAAATATTAACTACCATTATCATAATGAATTGTTAGAAAATAATATTCAACTGCAAGAATTTCTAGTCCTCCTTAGTCAGCCAATTAGCAGTTTTAATATTTATTTTATGAAAAAAAAAAAAGAAAAACAAACTTACAGAAACATTTTTGATATCACAATAAAATCAAGACAAATCGCATTTGAGAGTTTCGATTCACTAAAGTACGTGATCTGTCCGGAGCTTTGATCTACGGTCATAAAATCTTTTGAATGATTCGACTTCCATAAAACATTAATGGTGAAATTGAGGAGAGTCAATCGTACTTTCTCATAACAATGTAACGATACTGGTCTTTAATATCAAATTTAAATTTACGTAACGTTCATTATTAGAGCGCTGAACTTTCCGTTTGTTAACAGGTTCCTAGTTACTGCTTCTAATGTTCTCATACATAGTAGCGAGCGCTTACAACAGTTGAAATAATTGTTCCCGCTTTTGTGGCGTTCGTTGTTATGTTTGAGTTTTATTAAAACGAATTGTTCTGCAGTATTTCTCAATAAGGATATTCTTTTTAATGAACAAAGAGTAATTACAATCTCTAAATCCTTACCAAAGTTGCACTATTATTGTGATTGTTTTAAAGGAAGGAGCAACTTATATATTTTGACAGAATATTTATTTATTAGTAGTTATAAATAAATATTTATAACTACTAATGAATAAATATTCTGTACGCTAAATATCTAAACGGTACCTATTTAGGTTCCGTTTAGATATTTAGTAGGCCAACTCATGAAGTAAATTTCTTAAAAATGTGCTATTACTTATAAGCGATAGTTGTGCAAGTTCAATTTAAAATTAAAAATAATCGTGGGGTAAAAATGACAAAGAGTTGTCAGCACAAAACATTAAATTTAACTATAGGTTACGCTTTAATACTTATAATAAGGTGTCAGTTGGTGCCATACAGTAGGCGTAGTTATTAGTAGATATATGTAATTATAAGATGTGGTATAGACGTTCGTAGAGAAACATTGTTCTAAACTTATAAAATTAATATATTATGCTCCGTAATTTTGATATGTACTCAAGTTAGGAATTAAAATTTGCGACGGGCTAAAATGTAAACGCTAATTGCAATCTAATTATAATTTATTATAAAATTGTTGATGGTACGAATGACTAAATACTTACCCAAATGTTTAATTGTCGTTTGCATGTCAATTAACAAAATATATTTGTATCCACATGTTCATTAAATATTTTGAATAGTTATAAAATGGATTAATAAAACTATTTAATATCGCCTTTTATCAGTTTTATAATTATGTATGTATAGTATTCGCCTAAAAACAAGAAATTCTTATTTGTAAAATATTTGAAGTTTTCTTGTCTAAATTGTAATTTATAATTTAAGTGTATATATTGCATTCAAAGTCACCTTTAAAATTATTGCTCAAATATTTTTTTTTCATTTGATTAGGAAAATTCCTAGTAAGACAAACGACGCTACGCCTATATTGATTCGTGTAACACGAGCCATCAATAATTTTTCTTTTTAGTGTGCTCCAAATATGCGACGGACGAATTAGGGCACAATATTTCCGAGCGATAAATTATAAAAGCGATGTCTTTCGGGATCGACTCGACCGTTATGGCGTCGTAAATAATGGCCGGAGGAGCGGTGAGCTCTGCTCGCAATATCTCCGGAAGGAACTCGCCTATGACATCGCGAAATACAACTGCTTCCATTGCAAGAACTGCCCTGATATAGAGGATATTTCAAACTGTTTTTGAACCGTGGCGGAACTTTTTTCCTATTGCGTCGGTTGGGTTTATTCCAATGTTTTTGTTTTGCACACTTATGGGTTTGTTTGCGATTTAACTGTCAAATAATTACGTCATACTAGATCCTTTCTCTAGTTACCATTACCCTCATTCGGTAGTCGGGTAAAAAGTGATCTTAATTACTGATTAGTAAACTGTTATTTTCTTAGGCTGTCACGCGCCGTTCCCGACAGTCGACATCGATGCAATGGTCACGTTCGTTTCGCGGCAACTCGGGCGTGCAGCACGACGATGTTGATGTCGACGACGTGTTCTTCGCTCCGCCATCGGTGACGTCACCAATCAACCAGCAGCACCACGACGAGGGAGACGTCGGCGACGGGCCGAAGGGGTAATGAAATAGAAAAAGGCCTAAATCTGCGTTTGGCCCTTCATGCCACCAGGGCTTGATCCCTAACTTTAAAGGACACCTTTTTTTAAAAAAAGAGAAGCTGGCAAACGAGCTGGCGGTTCCCTGATGTTAAATGGCAACCGCCACCCATTGACATTTGGAACACCCGTAGGGTTACGGATGCGTTGCCACCTTTTAATAAAATGGGCCCCGGCTTCCTCACTTAATAGACGAAACGCAGAAGTATAATACTTCAACTTCACGCCGATCTTATGTGAAATCGTATCCGGATGTACTTATCCGGACGGATCTGCCCATTTGTGCAACAGCCAAAGCTGTTGCGTGGGCGACGATTGTTAAAAGAATTTAGTGCCCGTTTCGTTTTCACCACCGCTTAAATTTCACCTTAAGGCTTAAGCGTGACATTTAAGCGGTCCCTTAAAATTCGGAATCTATGGTGAAAACGGACATAAGTGTATTTAATTAAAACTCTAAAGAAACTAAGTTATGTTTTAAAAACTAAGTATTTCGATAGCCGCAGCTTAATAATGGTTCCGATCACTTTTCTTTATTAATAACTTACGTAATAATCTACGGATTTCATTGTTGATATTCAACGTGTTTCTGCGCGAATTTAAGCTAGCGAATGAATAAACAAACCCATATTAGTAAATGTTCAAGCTATGGAGACATCTACTGAACACACACACTTCGATTTAAAAATAGTTGAAATTTCGTTCTAATTTTGTTTTTGCTATTTTTTTTGAGTTTGTCTAGTTCGGTATAGTACCTTTTTTGTATTGTGAATAAGTTAGTCAGCGTAAGAGAACAGGTTTCATTTTTAGAAAAATGTCCTTTTATCCCTGTTTTCAGGGAATGAAAAATATCATTCGAATAAGATTAATTAAGCAGGTAAATTTCGCCGGAAATAAAATGTTATAATAGCTCGGTCCCGAAACAGAAGGCCGTGGTTCGTGTCACGATCATTTACACACTTATTTTTTTACTTTTTTTCGATTCTAGATCATTGCTTTCTTTATTTTTTATTTTTTTGTCGATCCAGATTATTTTGTTATTTTTTCCCTTTTTTTAAAGTTCTTTCTATTGTGAAAAACACCAGTTCATATTTTCTTATTATTACCTCGGTAAGATCGAAAAATATTATGCATATTTCATTACTCAGTAATTGTGCCATTTGCTGTTGAAACATTAGGTCCGTGGGGTCCCCGCACATAATTTTTTTTTTTTAAAGTTTATGTTCTAGGCTTAACGCCGCGGCTGGTGACAAGAGAGCTGGTTCTTTTCTCGCGCAAAGGTTAAGCATAACTATTAAGCGAGGAAATGCAGCTAGCGTTCTTGGCACCATGCCGCGTGGATTAGGTTTATTAGATAATATGTAATTTTAGATAGATTTAATCTTGTAAATATTAGATCAATAAAGATTGACTCAGTAATTTGTATCTAAATGTAATTTTCAAAATACATGATTTACAAAAAAAAAATCGAGCAAAGCTCGGTCCTCCTGGTAATAGTATTTATAAGCCAACATAATAACTTTATTCAACTAAAAAATAAACCAGTTGACAATAACAAACTGAAACCTAAACGGTAAATTGACTTAAGGTAACGAAGATTTTTAGTGCTATTCATTGTCATCATATCATATAGACAGTATGTAATAAAATTGATTACAGGAAAATAATAATTTACAAAAAATCGTGAGATTTACATTTTTATGGATTACTTACATAGTTCCGTGTAACATCGTCACTAGCATGGGTAAATGTCATTTTCCACTTTCATTGGAACTTTGCTAATGGATCAAACTAAAATAAAGTTTAATAACACTATGGACACACCATTTATCGTTGGTTAACTGCACGATTTTCTGATATTTTAAATTCTACGTTACATAATAAGACTTGAGCGTTTATTTATTTTTAATGTTACTTGTATAAGAGTAATGTTTACACTATGAAATACGTTACAAAAAACTCGAATATTCCACTACCTTCTGCGAAGTTTCATTCGGTTCAAGCACCACTCAGCTGCTTTAAACATGAGAATACTTAAAAATGTACTTTTGAATTTTAATTAAGCTAAAGTACACTGTTTCATCTAATCGGATTCAGGAATCACTTTTAATGCTTTCAAGCAATGTCCTTAAAATGTTATACAAGCTCGATTTAATTAGCGAGTTGGAAATTTTATACAATAATGTTACTTAGTTGATTTAACTTACACCAGATTTGCTAATTTAATAAACTATAAAAGAGTTAAATAGTTAGTAAAATGATAAATTCTGTTATAAAACTTGATAACAAACATTGAAATCAAAGTTATCATCCATCAACATCAAAATGTACAGAAGAAAACTGAACCACAATTGAATAATGGCGATTTTAAATTTTCGTTAAAATCGATTATCGAACAACTCTTGTTTGATCCAAGTAAATGTGGTGGATAAAAAATTTGCTGTGACAACGTTACGTAATATCTTTTGTTCAATTCATAGAGTGCCGTTATTAAAGTGGAGTGCGGGAACTGAAAGCCGTGCTAGGGAAGGGCGCAAACTTTGCTTAATAATCGCGCTAGAGTCAGAACCGAGCTCTTAATACATCGCCATGTTGCGCTAACTTGACAGATTAATTAGCTTCTAATTATAATTATACATTTCGCTGTAGCGCCAAGCACCGAGACGGGAAGTTGTTGGGCAATTTATTGTTCAGCTGCAAACTGATTGAATGCTTTTGTTTATTAAGCCGAATCGGGCTCTTTTATTTATAACTCGTTCCCTTTGGATTTTCTTCGAACTATTAACCGCAAACTACTGAAGTTTGTGGGTGTTTCTTGAAAATAGACGTTGTTCGGGTGAATTTTCTTAAGTTAAATAACTCCTATCCACGTGCGAAACAGATTTGCAGTAACCGAATTATGTTCTAAGTTCAAATAAATGAAAATAGTAGTCTATCATAATTCGCAAAACAATTTTTTGAACCAAATAATACTTTGGTTGCAACTACGAACGTTCAATTTTGTCATTGTAATTCCGTTGTAATTTTTAGAGGAGATTATGAGTGATGTAGAAATACTTCACCTTTGCGTTTGGTGAGTGAGGTAGCGAGGGCCCATTAAAACCTGATTGAAACAATGTAACTGAAAATAAAAGGTATACGTATATGTGCGGCGGTTATTACTTAACATCTGGTGAACCGCCTCCAAATTGCCACCTTCTTCCATAAAAAAAAAAAACTTCACAACACTAACCTAACAGCGACGGCTCAGCGATTATTCCTTTTTTTTTAAACTTTGTCTCGAGTCTCAACCATCCCGCTATACTCTTGGTAGCGTACACAACTAGGTTTCCCCTTTTCGGATTTTCTTCGTTAAAAATAAACCGGTTCATATAGCCGGTGTGTGGTAATTACTACAATACAAAACGATAACACATAAACAATTTGCAACTTACTAGTCAAAATTTTGGTGAAAACAATTCAGTGTATGTTTATCGAATTAAGGTCAATGACAATATTTATTTTAATTTTTTATTATTTTTTTTAAAATTAAAAACATTGCCTTTAATTTAGGATAACATTATCCTGTGTTGTAAGGACGTTTTAGAAACATAAATTTGATGTGGACTAACAACACCCAGATGCGAAACAACTATATGTGAGTCACATAAATAGTTGTCCCGTGTGGTAATCGTACCCACAACCCCCGACGTTGAATACCTTGCACTTGCCAACTGCGCCTTACTAATATTATAAAGGCGAAAGGTTGTATGTATGGATGGATGTTTGTTACTCTTTCACGCGAATACTACTGAATGAATTTTTATGGAACTTTACAATAATATATTTTATACATCAGAATAAGACATAAGCTATAATTTATATACATATTTTATGTACATCTGTCTTTCTGCCTGAATTTTACGCCTTCAGCCTATTCGACGCAGAGGTAGTCGCGGGAAGCAGCTAGTAATATATAATTGTAGTGAGTACGTTTAACAATACGAGAGCCAGTGCTCTTTTTTATACACACAATGATCAGATTAAGATGTTAACGAAATTCCGCCCGGGACATTTAATTTCACGAATGATTGATTCACTCCAATAACGTTAAATACATAATGTCTTTGTCTGGGAAGGATATCGTTTTGCCCAGATCTTTGTGACATGGGTCGCTGGAATGGACGACTTAATCTGGGGACATGCTAACATATTCGCGTCGAATTAAGCAGTCAATTTTGTTAAAAGCAAATATAGTAGTTTTCAAATGATATCCAATTTAGTATATTTTCGATTATGCACAAGCTATATTCATAATACTGTTTCTGAGTTGTGATAAATAAATTTGGTATTCGAATTTGAGTTAAAACACAACACTTTTCACTTTTTAATTTTTGTTCGTAATTATTATGTTGTTTATATTTGTTGTTCACATTGTCAGTATCGCTACGAACTACTGTATGGTAGTTCAGTCAGAGGAAGACACGTCTTTTGATTTAACAACAGTATTTAAAATATTGATTATTTGAAAAAAACGTCTGTAGTCTAAAATTTAAGAACTTAAATAAAAGAAGACGTAGGTATAATCTTAATATAATTTATTATTTCAAAAGACAAGCAACAAGCACCACCGTTTAATACTTTATTTGTTTGTCGTGCACTATGTTAATTCAAAGAGATTAATAAGTAAGTAGTGCAGTATGTTTTTTAAATGTCTTCCTTTTATTATGTTAAAGGGCCAATAGAATCAACATTACCGTATTATCGCTGTCTATTCAGCTGACAATGTTTCAATCGGTCTAAGTGTAATGCAGCTACTTGGGTATTCCGACCGAGTTTCCACAAAGCGATCAATAAAATGTATCCGTTCAGGATCGCTTTAGTTGTATTTCCGATTTCGTTTATGTACAACCCGCTTAAGCGATGCTCGGGCTATAAAGATTTATTGCTGTTTTCTATTTATTATTTCTCTCGCATTCAATATTTAAATTGTCATGGTGTTAGGTGTCCCGGTGATTCACGGTTCTTTTGGATTACTTAATATTTACCTTTTTATTATATAAGGAAACGAGTTTTTTATAGTTGGTATAAAAAAACTTGCACATAATCTTATGGAGCCTATTGAAAGATATCGAGAATTTTAAATTGATACAGCGCTAGTATTGCGAATAGTATCTCCCATTTTCAATGTCTCTACTAAAAGATTTTTTTGAAATTAACTTACCTATGTTAAATAGCGATTCATAAACTTTTATCCTTTTTTATCAATACAAAGATGTACGAGAAATCACAAGGATAAAACTATTCAACACTTGACTTCTTCTACTTAAAATGCAGATATTGTTGAGGCTTTACAACCGACTTTAAAAACCTTTCAAGCCTTTCGATTCCATTGTGTTTTTTTTTTAATTTTGTTACATGAGAACTCCGTTTAAAAATTCTTTTTGTATTGGGTTCGGTTTAGCTTCCGTCTGGTCCCATGAACTTCATTAGTATATTCTACATTAGACTCCGAAGATACATCAAGGACCTCCCTAAATGAAATAGAAAATATTTTGTGAGTCAGATATTTAAAGTATTCTTCCTTCAAAAAAGGAGGTTTCATGTTCGACTGTACGTATTTTTATATGTGTGTTCACCGATTTCTCCCCTATTTGTAGACCGACTCTCAAAATTCTTTTTTTTGTTAGTAAAAATAAATAATACTCAAATTACATTAATTGGTGTAATTAGAATGCTCTTTCCATATCATACGTTCTATGGAACCTGTCACATTCATGTCATATAATGTAAAGTGGAACAATTTTTATGGTCATGTCTGCCGCATGCTTAACACCTTTTTTGCCAAATCTGCTACAGAATGGGTCCAACAAAATTTAAGACGGGCACGCGGCAGGCCCAGACGGAGATGTCGCAACGAAGTGGACGCATTTGCGAGGGATTGGGGAAATGGAAGGAGGCCTTTGCCCAACAGTTGACACTAGTGCATGAATACGAATACGAACAATTTTTAAACGCCACGCAGTATGGGCATGCGTCATGTATTTTATTAAAGATCTTTGATAAAAAACGTTTTATATGTTGTGCACTACATTCGGATTTCGTTATCAGGGCGCGTTCGCCGATCGTGCCTGGCGTGGAGTACCGGAGGCCTGAGAGGAACGTGTCGTGGGGCGCGGGGGGCGCGCGCATCCACATCCCGATGCTGGAACCTTTGGCGGATAACTCTAACAGGAGGCAATTTGGGATGGGCGTCGTCGGCCGTTTCTTCCGGTGAGGTCTTCCGTTATGGTTACATTAATGCTTGGAATAGCCGGTTGCCTTGTTAGGTATTGAGTCTGCACGACACGAAGACCAATTCTTCCGAGCTGCTTTAAAATTGTCTCACATCGCTCGGTGTTTAACGGTGTTTCAGAAGGAATTATTTGCTAAGTCCATTGAGGTGAGAGTTTCGTAGAACTTTAATCGACCCAATGTATCTATTCTTGAAATACTCCATTACGAATGGCGTTTAAACAAAAAAAAAACATATTCACAGCAGGTCTATTAAATGAAACATAAAGGAAATACAAAATGAGTTTATTGCAAGTTTTATACACATAATATGTTAATCAATATGTAATCAGTTACTAGTTCTACTGTTACCAGCATTATTATTTTATTGATTTATATTATGTTCTTTTTTTTAGATTTTCATTATTGACTAGCCCCCAGTAAGAGATAAGCAGACTAAAATAACAAAACTACATCACTTAAGGCTTAGTGAGTCTATGCAGCAATGGAAGGCGGTAATTATTATTGGATTGCAATTATTAATAGCATAAAACAGACAACGACATAGGAGTGTCAATGTAAAGAGTAATTGTATGAACGATACCGCAAAAAGTACCTTAGAGCATCATTAATTTCGTTCCGACGCCAAATCAGAATGCAATTAGATCAGAATAAATTTGTGAAAATATAAGGTGATATCCCTGGCTATGACCTGACTTTGTAGTTACATACAATCAAAGCGCACGCATAGTTTCTGCGTCATGCGTATATGCACCGTTTCGTAAATTGGCGTGTTCAAGATGAGATTATAGGCTTACAGTAATTCCGGTTTGATCCGTCCGCGAATGTATCACCTGCGCCCTCAATATATCACCCTGTGTACGATGCGAGCCCCCATTTAAAAGTTGCCGTAATGGGTTTTTGAATTAATACGCCGTGGACGTGACGCAGGATATAATTTATGATATTCCCCGCTATCCTTTGATTCTTTCTGAATTATTAACGTAATCCTTTGGGATATTTACGGTTAAAATAGTCATTTCATTCCACATATATTATGACATCTCATGTCTTATTGTTATACATTAAGTAATGCTCGAGTATACTGTTAGTTTGACTGTATTGTTGTGAAAAATAATGAATTAGGAATCCTTGACTATGTTATATTCTTCATATAATATAGTCAAGCATCCATATAATATAGACAATAAAATATCTGCTTACTGACAAAATACACTGTTAATAGGTACATTCTGAAAGAACTTTGTGAAACATTGGCTACTAGACACAATGGTTGTACATTTTAATTCAGTTATGTTAAATAATGCGTGAATAAAAGCTCGCCTTGCAAATGGACTGCGAAAAAATTAAAACACATTTTCGAATTTCGGCATCCGTAGCCTGAAGGCGAAGGGCAAAAGAGCAGAAGGTAATTTGGATTTTTCTCATTTTCCAGGCGAAAACTCTTTTTGTAAAATATTCCAAGCTTATTAATAATAAAATTTAAAAGTGTATTCGGTACGACCGTTCGTTAAACTGGTACACAGAGAGGCTTGACATTTTAATTTTGTCAGAGTGATAATCATTTCATTAGGTTAACTCAATTATTTTGTCTAAGTATATAACACCTACACCTAAAGATAATTGAACACGGATATAGAACTATTTATATTTTACTTTTTTAAACTATCCGTTATTTTTAAATGATAACCGTCTTTTATTTAAGTGTGTTTATTTAGACACAGAGAGAGAGAGTCGTATCATCTGGTTTGGCAATAATTTTTAATACCCAAAGGGTAAAACGGGACCCTAATACTAAGACTCCGCTGTATGTCTGACTGTCTTTCTGTTTGTCCGTCTGTCACCAGGGTATTTTTCACGAGCAGTGATAGTAAGACGGTTGAAATTTTCACAGATGATGTATTTCTGTTGCCGCTATGACAACCAACAAAAACTAAATAAAAAAATAATTAATTGGAGGTCCCATACAACATACATGTTTTTTTTTTTGCCGTTTTTATAGATATCTTGGTGCAAGAGTCCGACTCGCTCTTGGTCGGTTTCTTGAGGACACACTTTTCTTGAGGAAATTCTTGAGGAAATACGACGAACACTTCATGCCACCCATGGACATCAACGGCACCTGAGGATGCGATGCCAACACTTAATGGGGTCATCTCTTTCTATAGAGGAAACTTGACATAATTGAAGTACTCGTATTATAATGTCATTCACGTTTTCTACACCGCAAAACTTAAACAGGAGAGATTTTTGCGTGCGCCACACTAACTATTTAACTAATACTTATTCGAAGCTAGTACAGTACATATTCTACACCTTATACGATACAAACAGCAAATTCACCGTACACTTTCGTGATCAATAGCATCGCTCGAAGTTGCTCAAATTCATTTATCAGAGTCCTCTCCCCTTGTATTGTAACTTGCGACTTTGTCGTGATTGAATAACTTAGTAGATATCTTTGTTGGAACATCATCCACATTACCTATATTACTTGTTTTGTTTAATCAGATATAAAACATGCATCACATTGATTTCGCCAGCTTTATAAATTAGCAATTGTAATGATTGTTTAAATGAATTGATTGATTTAAAGGTGATTTGAGCAGATGAATGGTTAAAAACTTTTCCGTGCTTTCAATTCGAACTTGCGTCTTTCGGATAACATGCCTAGACGATTTAACCAACTGAGCTATAGTACTATATTTAAATACAAAAATATCACATTTTAATTTCGTCTTCAGTTCAGAGGCTAGCATTAAAATTGAAATTAATCATAATCGATTTATGAAACAAGTTTTTTTTTATGTTAGAAAGGCGGTTCACCTGATGTTAAGTGATAACCGCCTGCCCATGGGCATTTGCAACACCCGTAGGGTTGCAGATGCGTTGCCACCTCTTAATAATGTGGGCCCCGGCTACCTCACTCACCAGACGTAACGCAGAAGTGCAACACTTCTACTTTACGTTGGTCTTTACGAAAACACATCAGATAACACCGCACTCGCCGGCGAGTGCGGCAAACATATACTAGGTTCCGCCACGTACCTGGCAGGTTTTCCCCCGTTAATGATAGAAGCATTGCTGGAGTTTCTTCCGCCACTTCTTCTCCCAGCGCCAACGTTTTCCGAAGTGGTAGTAATGTTAGATCTAGAAATTCTCCCAGTCAGATAATACTACCGATCGAGCCGAGGTCCGGCCCTCTCGGGCACCCTCGAATCAGAATGCTAAACGCGTATTGAGTGACAGCCCAAGCCGAGGTTCCCTCTCGGGGACCCTTGAGCCTGGTCACTCCATGGAGCGTCCGCCAAAGCGCCCTAAGAGCTTGGCGGCCTCCCAAACCGGTAATAATAATAGCGGGACGGCCCGAGCCGAGGCTCCCTCGGGAATCCTCGAGCTTAGTCACCATAACGCGTAATAATAATACGCCGAGGTTCAGGCTAGACGCCCCGAGCGCCCGGCCACCTCAAGTCCGGTGAAACTGTAAAGGCCCCTAAGGCCAATCTTCTTACGGAGTATTTATTTTATTTAGAGAATTTAATTTAATCGTCATTCTAGAACAATTGAGACATTATCCACAAAAAAGAAAAAAAATTATATTTATATTAAATTTTGACTGCAAGCTTCCCGCTTTTTGTGTTGAGTATTATACAAAAGCTTTACCCATTTAATGGGTTTTGAAAGAAAAAGGGAAATATTAGTTATATATTATAACATATATAAGAACAAAATATTAGTTATGTAAACTTAAATAAATCCTAAAATGAAATTACCACTTAAAATTTTAAGCATCTTCCTTCTACAGCCCTCTTTCCCATCTTTGTGGAGACGTGGCTATGTTTTTTCAACAATTTAGGTTGACAAATGTAAAATTACAAATATATATTTACTTAACCTCCCCCTTTATAAGAACCTTCTCTTTTTTTAAGTCGGTTGATTACGATAGAAGAGAGCCGTGATAGCTCCGGGCCCTTAATTCAATATATTCGGGTAACCTGGTTTCGATGGCTGGTGCCGGCACCAATAAAATGAGGGCGGCCACGGGGCCGCGTGGTGGGTATGCCCTTATACTCCCTGTAGAGAGGAGACCTTTGCCCAGCAGTGGGACATGTATAAGCCATTACTTTTCTTAGCTAATTCGTGCAGCAGAAGTCAGCTACTCATGTACACGAACACGTAATTTCCAGGCGTTCGTTGCGCAAGTCGATGACGCACCAAGAGGAGGTGGCGCGGCAGCTGGACGAGCTGACGGACTACCGGCCGTACTTCACGTGGTGGGTGAGCACGGTGCAGACCCTGGTGCTGCTGTTGTCGTTGCTCTGCTACGGCTTCGGGCCCGTGGGCTTCGGCAGGCACACGCACTCCGGCCAGGTGATGGTCAAAAGCCTCAGCTTGCAACAGGTGAGGATCCTGCTAACGGACGGAGTTTACGTTTCTGAAGTAATATCGGTATGCACAAATGTTGGACACAACTGTCGAAGAGTTTACATTTAACACTCAAAAACCATATACAATGCTGATGAATGAATGTTCTAAATCTAAATACGTGACACTGCATTTTAGTGAAAATATATTTTTGATTAGTAAAGTAAAGTAAAGTAACAGCCTATACGTGTCCCACTGCTGGGCAAAGGCCTCCTTTGTTCAGAGGGTATTAGGGCATAGTCCACCACGCGATATCACTGCGGATAAGTAGACTTCACATATCTTCAAAATTTTGATCTTTGTTATTATTTCGAAAATATGCCGGTTTCCTCGAGATGTTTTCCTTCACTCATGAAGCACGTGATAAGATCACGGCAGCCAAGCACCAGGGATCGAACTCGAGTTGCTCAAGTATATTGTCAATGAGCGAACAATAAGCACAAAGTCAGTAATAAACTACATTTTTGACTAGTTTAATTATGTCATTAAAAATTGATGTTTTCATTTATTTCATTTCAAATGAAAATCATTGCTCGAGTTAGTGCAGAAAAGGTCAAGGTTGTTTTCTTTGATGCAGCAACTAGCGATACATGACGGTAGTTTTTCGCATGACTTAATGTCGATCAGTACCTAATAATAAGTTACGCATGTTCTTATTATCATGTTTTGACATAGCCAACCAATTCGAAGTCTTTGATTGTATGTAATGTTGCAATAAAAGCTCGTATTAAGTTAATGTTAACTACTGTATATCAAAATTAAAAAGTTACACAGAAACGCAGTCGGGTTTTGTTAGTTTTTTTTTAAATTATATACTACTTCTTAAGTTTTCCAGTGGTCATGGTGATTCACGGGATAGACATTCTGTCTATGTAGACAAAATAAAAATCTGTGAAATGCTTTCATTTAACCATGCATAACATTCGCGTAAAACAAGAAAAAAAAATGTGAACGTGATATAGCTTTAACTAAAAGATAAGATAATATATCTAAATGAGTTACGAAATTCATTTTGTATGGATGTGACTAAGCCGTCGCCGGCGGTGCCACAAACAGTTAAATTTCTGGATTTCAGAATGTGTTATATACATATTTCAGGATTTAATTTCCCAGGATAATAAAACTTTATGGCCCTAATGAATGGACAGAACCAGTTTTACGTTGTAACAGATATTAAAACATATAAATAAAATCGAGTACTACGTTATCGCAATTCCATTTATAAGCCAATTTGGAAATGGAAAAGGCTTGTTGAATGTTAATTAATCTTCAAAGTTTGTTTTAATATTTTTCAGCATTATCAACAAGCTAACATTACTGTTTTTAACATTAATTTTAAATATTTAAATTGAGATTAATTCGAGTCGTTACAGTCTTGTTTGATAGAATCACTCGCGTAAGGGTTCATGTTAGACGATACCGCTTATCACGTTTTTTTCACGAGAGAACAAAAAAGGCACAGGGAGCGACTGTTAAGTAGCTATAAAATAGAATTAAACTTTATGTGGAATAAAGACCTTAAAAGTAATGCGTGCGCCACATTTACAGTTTCCAAGACATTGGCAATTGATGCTTACGCTGTTTACACTCCAGTAAGTAATTTTATCTACCGTTCCAAGATAAAGCCGTCTTTTCGTAACTGTTTTTATTTTACCTATAGGTATTTCAAATTTTAACTTTAAAGGACGGATATGTCGCGGGAAATAGTAAATTTTGATGCAGGAACTACGCCTTTTAAATAATAAAAGGTATAGTCCCTGCATCGAACTTTTCGATAATTCTAATGTCTTTGGAGTTTATTTATATGTATATGAATAATTAATTAATGTGCCCTCGCTTTATAGTATATTCGAGAAACCCTAGTACAATTCTCGGTGCCGTTAACAATGAAATGATTACTATGTTTATGTGAAGTTTGCCATTCCGCGGTGGGGTCGTGTAGGTCATTGGATATGCCTAATACCCTCTAACAAAAGAGGCCTTTACCCAGGACATATATAAGCCGCTACTTTACTGTACACCAATGACTAAAAATTCAAAGCAGGTAATTTAAAAATAAGCCAAATATATAACAATAAATATTAGAACAATAAATATTTGTAATTTAGGCTAATGTCTCATGGTTCACCTTAGACGTTTCACGTGCTCGAAAGCAGCGGGGGCTATATCTCATTTATATGTTGACAATTTCTACACTGAAAATTAATATTTTTTCGTTGCATTTCTTAATTGAATCTTGATTTTTGATTAAAATTTAGATTTAATTAAGTATGCAACGAATACAAATGAATAATAACAATAACTTTTTTTTTAATAAAATTTAGTGTCACGTTTGTCCATTTACAGGTCCTAGTACAGTTAGTAATTATTCTAGTATTAAGTCAGTAAGTGACATTATGGTTAATATTTTGCACAATCACAAAACTTTGATGGTTGTTAGGATAACATTATTTTTGTTCTGTAACAAAAATCGGCAGCTTTAAACTTAGTTTAATAAATAAACTATAGATCCCAATTTTAAGGTCTTTAAAGTGTTAACTACATATTTGGGTTTTGAAGGTGCTTAGAACATCATCGTACAACAGTGGGCATCATCCTTTGCCCATAGATAGATAGACCTTCACAATATTTTAAAATGTACTTCAGAAAATTTTCTTATAAATTTTATTTTGAATTCCAATATTATATTCATGATAGCCACGACGACGTAGGGTCGTCAATGTAGCGCAGCAAATTCGGTCTCGCGGGAGCAATGGCGCTCGTCGAGTCCCGAAAATCCGTTTCTTTGTTTAAGACTTTAGCATAACGAGGTTAAATGACGCAAAGCTTTTAGACACAACGCGTTCCCTCGGATTTAAAGCCGGAGAATCGCGTTTAGGAGACAATGCACAGTTTGGGAGATTTATTATAGGGCCGAGCGTAATGCGAGAGGGCAAGCCTAAAATGTTATATCCAGTACGATCATTGTTCAACTGGTACTGCAATCAAATGTGGGACAGGTTAAAAATAACATTCACAACCAAATCTGTGCTTGGTTTTTTTTTGTATAAAAATAAAATGTAAATTAATGCCCGTTTTCACCATCGATATCTAATTTTAAGGGATGCCTAGAAAAATTAAGTGCTAGTTCATAAGTGGTAAGTTTGGTAAAAACGAAACCAACACTTACATTTTTTTAGGCGTCTCTTAAAGTTTATTATCGATGGTGAAAACGGGCATAAGAGAATTAATTGAATAAACTGAAAAGCAATGGATGATAGATAATTATCACGATTTATAGCGAAAATATTCGTCAGGCCTTGCTCAAAGAAACAATGTAAAATTATTAATGAATGAGCAGCGAGATGTGGGTCACATATGCTTTGTGCTCTGTCTTTTATGTACTTTTGTCGCTTTAGCGAGTCACCCACGGATTGTTGTCTTTTAAGCTCGACTGACCGCAAAGCGAGGGACGAGCGATGGAAATTATTTTGATACACTTTATTGTTTCGCAAGTAGCAGGACACAAATTCGTGATACAAGTCTTCGGTGCGTCGTAAATAAAAAGATAACAACACAGCGTCTTGGATTATAGGAATGTGATATAGATTATGGGAATTTGTTATCCAAAATTTAATTTTATTTTAAATTTTACATTGACACAAACAACAATAACGATAGTATTTTTTTTTTTCATTTATTGATATTTGGTATTAGTCAAATGTAGAAAATTGTAGATTCTTGTATCTTGTATCTTGTATTAACTGATGTTTTTTCTTTCAGTCCCGAGACTATTAAAGCTTCATCGGACGCAGAACCGGTGGGCTAGCCAGAACCCACGGGTTTGGACCCTCCGCTATGGGTAGGGTCGCGCATGTGCCATGTATGCGTTTAACTACTATGGTGTGTCATCTAAGGACCGTCGAGGTCGCCAGTTCGGACCGAGACCCCGACGGCCGTCGACTGTGCATTTAGCTAATCGGTGGCTGGGAGCGGTGAGAACCGCCCCGGAACGCGGGCGTACCTTGTGTACGCGTTGTGTGGGTCTCGCCGTGCTCGGAGGCGAGGGCGAACTGGTGTGATTGTTGTTACACTAACTGTGGGTGTAGTGTTATCCGGCGGGACCCACGGCGGTGGGTCCATCGTGTCTAAGTCCTCTTCGTCGACCGGGTCGATGAGGACGTTTCGCGGGCGACGCTTGTTTACGTTCGCGTTAGTGTCCGGTATGTAGTTTGCTGCGCTTACCACCAGAGGGTTTTGATGATGTTGGGCTCTATCGAAGAACCGTTTTGTCAAATCTTTAAAATGTGCGCGAATCGTCGGGAGTCTGCAATAGCTGTGCAGATCGACGTTGCGCTGATACTATTGCGCACCGGTTGCGCGGCGGATAAACTTACTTTGAACTACTTGCAATTCGTTAATGCGCGTAGGATTTATATGTGCGAAGATCATGCATGCGTAGGACATGATTGGCTTTACGCAAGCTTTATATAACAGTAATTTGTGCCTAAGGGCATTTTACTTTTCTTATTCGTTAAATTGTGTAGCCGGCCGGAGACGAACGCGGCTTTATTTCGGACTTGATTGATGTGCGTAGTGAAAGTCATACGCGAGTCGAAAGTGACTCCTAAATATTTGACCGTTTTCTCCCAGGGGAGAGTTTGGCCATATAGTGATATTTGCCCCAACTTTCTGTACTGGCGAGGACCTTTGTAACGGTGTGGCGGATGGGGGTTGGGGGTGCTACGAGTGAAGTGAATTGCCACACTTTTTTCTGGATTAATATCGATTCTCCATTTGCGGAACCAATCGCCGAGGCGGTCGGCGGTGCTTTGGAGTCGAGTCGTTAATTGACTGAGGTTGCGATCTGAGTAAAAGAGCCCCGTGTCATCCGCGAAAAGCGCGAGATTGACGTGGGGGTCTCTAGGTATGTCGCTCGTGTAGAGCGTAAATAACAAGGGTGAGAGGCAGGAGCCTTGTGGTACGCCGGCCGTGAG